TTTTATAATGTTATATCATGACTGTATCAGACTTGCGAGGACAACCTTGTAACAAGTCTAATAATTCCATGAAGCTTGTTCCAAGTTGTTAACAGCTTTTTCCAAACTTGTTACAACAACTAGGAACAAAAAGTGCGAACACAACTTGTCAACAGCTTGTGAACAGATTTGCAACAACTTGTTTGCAGACCTGTAACAACTTTTCACACACATACATGTAAAACGTTTACAATATGCACTGACCGTTTTATGTCTGGAGTCATAAGCCGCTGCAGTTACAATCTTCATAGTGCTCCCTGATATCTCGTAGTATTTATCATTGGAGAACGCTTTTTCGATTTCAGTTAGTGAATAGCGACATACGGCCAACAGGTTATCTGCAGGTCTAAAAAGACAAAGCAAAGATTAGGGTGAAACATTTTCCTTTTTCACTTCATTGCATGCACTGGAGCAGGCCACGAAATAACGGCCGAAATTACTTTTGATCGACAGAGAAGCAAGTCTCGAAAACACGGTTAAAAGAATAATAAAAGTACTTACTTTGCGGTCCGAAATAAACCATATATATAAACCTCGCCATCATTACCAGTTATAACAGACGTGAATTCTAAACAAATACAACATGAACATTTTTGACTATCATGCACAGATCATCAATCTAGAATTTGTCGTCTTTGGAGATTTTCTAACATTTACGATACAATGACCTCTTGAATGATCAGAGTTATTCAAGGTTTTAAGTTGATTTATATAAACATAATGTTGTAAATAACATTTTCCCGACGGATTTCGATCTTGTTGCGGGGTTTTGGGTGGCGAAATATAGTGGGAATTAAGAGAAAGGGGGTATGCAGTAACTGGCTTGCGTAACAAATCAAAATCATCGATTTAAGAAATCTTACCTAAATTATTGAACTGAAATTGATCTCTGCCCGAAGTTGTTGGACACAACAACCTTGCTTCGGAGAAAGTTTGGAAATGACCGCTACTAGGTGAACGGGTTTGACCTCCGAGATCATACTGAAAAGAGATTGAAAAATTTAGTTCAGTTTGGGTTTCTGTTTACAGTGAAACTGGACCACTGGGGAGAACAGGGCTCAAAGTAGAGAAAAAATATGGCCTGCCAGTCTAAAATTTTTTGGCAGGTGAAATACATTTTAGCCTGTCATTTTTTATCCATTGAACTGCCAAAATGGCAATGTCTCATATGCATTTTTATTGTTTTTAAACATTCTATTTTACTACAGTAAACTTGGATTTACATTTCAAATATAAACGTATTTAGTCAACTAAATAATCTAGTATATATGAGTTGTAGTAAGCAAATGAAATGAAATATATCTATAGAATTTCACCTTGTTGGAGGGACAAGAAATATGGCAGCACACATTTAAATTTAAAGTTTAGTTTAGTGTAAAAAGGAGATAATTCATTTTTGGTCGTGCAAAAAGTTGATATTTGATAGTAGATACTTCTACTCTTTCACATATTTGACGCCTGTCTCGGCCAGGGGTTTTTTCAGGGATTTTTTAGGACCGTAAAACGGCCCCAAAAACTCAATCTTGAATTGAATTTTGAAACTCAATCTTCTCACCAAAAGATTCAGTGCAGTAAAAATGAAGTTGTTTGAAAATTCGTGACGTGTGGAAATTAGTTTCAGTTGGAAACCCGACAATCAGGAAAAAATGGCTGGAATTCATTTCACAACACAAGAAAAACAAACGCATTCGCCATTTTAATGTCTGCTTTAACACATTGCGTTTCAACCACACTTAATGGGTACAGACTACTACAGGTGTCAGACTCCCGCAGCTGCCCCACACCCCGAGTTGTTCAGCTACATTAAACTCAATCTTCTCTGCAAAAACGGACCCAAGAGAAAATCTGGAAAAAAACCCTGGTCTCCATATATTTTGTCCCTCCAAACGATCCCAGAATGCACTGTGATCTCTTTTGGGAACGTTTCGGTATGACGTCCTCGTGCCAACGTAAATTCCGTAATTAGCATATTGCGCGGGCCAGCGATGCAGTGTAAATGTAATGTTAATGTAAGTAAAGTGTTATACCTTGCATAATCGTCCAACACGAGCATACGTGACCTACACAGCAAAGAAGAGAAGAGACAATAAAGGTTGACTGTTTTACATTATTACATTGGTGTCCAGGCAGTCCAGCACCCCGTAAGGAGCTCCCGTAGCCGGATGACGTCAGAAATCACGCGTACATGTATAGGTGCACTTTTACCTTTAGAATCGCTTCCGGTATTATTGCCTTCATTGCATGCACTGAACCGAAGATATGGACATACAAAGTCTTGAGCTTCTACAGTAGAAGCTGACGATGCGCACGGGACTTGTCGAGAAAGAGTTAAATCACCTTGCATTTCCATTCACAATTGTATTTAATCATCTAGAATATTTTCTCTGAGATATCGTTTTTTTATGCTTAGCATATGACTTACAAAAAATGCACCATTAAATTAAAGTTTTGAAAACCTGAAATTTCATACAAAATGTGCTCTCAGAATGATGCAAATGCCATTTCAGGGATCCAAATTTTAAAAATTTTCTGGGGTAGCATTCCCCCATACCCCCTAGAAATCTCCCCCCCCCCCAAAAAAAAAAATATATTTCGCAAAGCTTCCGCCACTACAAGTTTGTATATCCGATACAACACGGCAGTTCATGTTATAAATACTATCGCGATATGTCTGCCATTGATTATACAGCGACATTGTAACATTGTTTAAATTTATCTTTCAAAAGTTTGAGCTTACCCTAGTTCCTGATGTTATAAGTTCTTGTGATAAGTCAGTGAAGAAATAATAAATGTAGTCGCCAAACTCATAAACATCAACAAATTGAGGATCTAAAATGACGAGAGTTTGATTTGAAAAATGTCTTACTTCAGTCACTTCTATTGAGTTCAGGGTTAAGTTCAGAGCAGCATCATCAACATGACTAGGGATGTTTGTGATGTTACTCTGAGTGTGCATCCACACTGGGCTGTCCGGGCAAGCTAAAAAGTTTGCCTGACTACGGTGGGAATCGAACCCGCGACCTTTGCGATACTAGTCTACCAACTGACCTACGAGGTCAAGTCGCCGTTAAAGTTGGTGATATTTCGGAACTGAGTCTTTCGATATCAATGTGTTCTAAGATATGAAACTTTTTGTGTGTGTTGGTGTTGTGTACTCGGGTGAATATGTTTGTGATGTTACTCTGAGTGTGCATCCACACCGGGCAAGCTGAAAAGTTTGCCTGACCACGGTGGGGATCGAACCCGCAACTTTTGGGATACCAGTCCAATGCTCTACCAACTGAGCTACGAGGTCAAGTCGGTTAAAGTTGGTGATATTTCGGAACTGAGTCTTTCGATATCAATGTGTTCTAAGATATGGAACTTTTTGTGTGTGTTGGTGTTGTGTACTCGGGTGAATATGTTTGTGATGTTACTCTGAGTGTGCATCCACACCGGGCAAGCTGAAAAGTTTGCCTGACCACGGTGGGGATCGAACCCGCAACTTTTGGGATACCAGTCCAATGCTCTACCAACTGAGCTACGAGGTCAAGTCGGTTAAAGTTGGTGATATTTCGGAACTGAGTCTTTCGATATCAATGTGTTCTAAGATATGGAACTTTTTGTGTGTGTTGGTGTTGTGTACTCGGGTGAATATGTTTGTGATGTTACTCTGAGTGTGCATCCACACCGGGCAAGCTGAAAAGTTTGCCTGACCACGGTGGGGATCGAACCCGCAACTTTTGGGATACCAGTCCAATGCTCTACCAACTGAGCTACGAGGTCAAGTCGGTTAAAGTTGGTGATATTTCGGAACTGAGTCTTTCGATATCAATGTGTTCTAAGATATGGAACTTTTTGTGTGTGTTGGTGTTGTGTACTCAGGTGAATATGATGTTTGTGGTGTTACTCCAAAACTAGACTCAGTTCTCAAATGTCACCAACTCGAACCGACTTGACCTCGTAGCTCAACTGCTGACCCAAAGGTCGCGGGTTCGATTCCCACGTGGTCAGACAAACTTTTCAGCTTGCCCGGTGTGGATGCACACTCAGAGTAACATCATAAACATTATATTCACCTGAGTACATAACACCAACACACACAAAAAGTATGACTATAGGGATGAGTCGAAATCAAATTTACCGATCCAATAAATCCAAATCCGATCGGTCAATTTACCGGCGATTGCCGATATTTGTTAACAGGAATTCCAAACACTCGAAATTCGGGCAAATGGTAGCAAAACATAACACGATTTAACAGACCAGTAACAGAAATGGCATTACGATAGTTAATTGACTCAATTTAGTAATCAATTTGTATAGGTAATTATAGTTTCTCGCTGGCTGAAGTATGAAAGAAGCGAGAAACGGGTTCTCACACTGGGGGGCCCCGGGCGAGGTGCTATGCCCTTATATGGGCATGCGCCTCGAGATAGAGCATGTTTTGTCTTTTGCCGCAAGTGTGGTAGTTCCCACCCGCCCACCCTTGTGGTTCGAGACATTGTTTAGGGTTATTAATATTGGGTCTATATGTTAATTTTGTGTATGAAAACAATTGTTAATAAATAAAGGCACTGCTACTTTTGCGGTGGCAGACTACACGGCAACCCAGTGTGAGAATTGCTGTATCTTATTGGCTATCTTTCTTATTGTTTCATATTTTAAGCCAATCGGAAAGCCTAAATAGTCAATGAAATTTGCACTGTATTTCATTTTTTTGGCACTGTATATATTTCGAAAAAATTGCACTGGTCATGAAAAATTTTTTCATGTATATTTTTAATTTCGGGAAAGTATCCAGGAAAATGACTAACGGTGTACTAAATGTGACAAACCAGTTTTTCTTGACAAAGAAAAGAATAAGTTTTTGTCGGTCCTGCATGTACAGTAAATAGTACTTCAAAAACTCATTAATAATTCATGAAGCAATTATCCAATCTTGAGTAAGAAATTAGTCACGTGCCTACGTCTTTATACAAGCTAAAGAACACTTTAACAAAAGACCATTGTTATGCAAACTATATAAAGATTTTTATATAAAGATTTTTATATAAATAAGATTTTTATATAAAGATTTTTCATATTCAGATTTGACTTATTATGCAAACGTTTTTGAAGCCGCAGGTCGTGTTTTATTAGGTCTAAACCACGAGCGCGCATTTAAACCTAATAAAACACGACCTGCGAGTCTTTTAAATAATTTAATTTTTTCATTTTTTTTTAATTTTATAAACTTCGTCACAATATAAATTACATATCTAAATAATATGACTATAACACATTCCGAGCTATCCTTACATGTATCGTTCTATCCTTACATGTATCGAAATAGTACTTAAAGGGTAATGGCAATAAAAAATTTTATTGCTTTATCTGAAAGAGCATGAAAAAATAAGCCGATTGGCCGTTTACTGCTCTATTCTATCTCATC